CAGGGTACCCATTCTCAACACTTAGCTCTAGATCTTGGGTACCCCAAACCGACCCCTTCCCTAAGGCCCCACACTCACTTTGGGGTTACAGAGTGAGTGAACAACCCAGGAATCTTCATCTTCTCCCATGACCATCATTACCAGGCTTTCTTTCTTTCTTTTTTTTTTTTTTAAAAGATTTATTTATTCATGAGAGACACACACAGAGAGAGAGAGAGGCAGAGACATAAGCAGAGGGAGAAGTAGGCTCCTTGAAGGGAGCTCGATTTGGGACTTGATCCCGGGACCCTGGGATCACGACCTGAGCCAAAGACAGAATCTCAACCACTGAGCCACCCAGGCGTCAAGTGCAACCAAAAGATGTTTAAATCATGAGACTCAGGGGACAGGTGTTGTAATGTTAATAATGCATTTGCACTTTGCTTTATAACTTATGAAACAGGGTAGCCCCGGTGGCGCAGCGGTTTAGTGCCGCCTGCAGCCCGGGGTGTGGTCCTGGAGACCCGGAATCGAGTCCCACGTCGGGCTCCCTGCATGGAGCCTGCTTCTCCCTCTGCCTATGTATCTGCCTCTCTCTCTCTCTCTCTCTCTCTCTCTCTCTCTCTCTCTCTCTCTCTAAATGAATAAATAAAACTTTAAAAAAAATAACTTATGAAACAGGGCAGCCCTGGTGGCTCAGCGGTTTAGCGCCGCCTTCAGCCCAGGGCGTGATCCTGGAAACCTGGGATCGAGTCCCACGTCGGGCTCCCTGCATGGAGCCTGCCTCTCCCTCTGCCTGTGTCTCTGCCTCTCTGTGTCTTTCATGAATAAATAAATAAAATCTTTTTAAAAACTTATGAAACAGATACTTTATTATTGTTATTATTACTTTAAGGATTTTATTTATTTGAGATAGAAAGAGTGAGAGAGGGAGCATGAGTAGAGGGCAAAGGGAGAGGGAGAAGCAGACTCCCTGCTGAGCGGGGAGCCCAATGTGGGGCTTGATGACAGGATTCTGAGATCATGACCTGAGCTGAAGGCAGATGCTTGACTGAGACACCCAGATGCCCCATGAAACAGGTTCTTTGCACTGCCTCATGACAGCCCTTCAAGTAGATACTTTATTGGCCCCATTTTATTTTTTTTAAGATTTTATTTATTTATTCATGAGAGACACACAGAGAGAGGCAGAGACACAGGCAGAGGGAGAAGCAGGCTCCCTGCGGAAAGCCTGACGTGGAACTCGATCCCGGGTCTCCAGGATCACGCCCGAGCCGAAGGCAGGCAACCAACCCCTGAGCCACCCAGGCGTCCTGGCCCCATTTTATAGATGGAGAAACTGAGGCTCAGAAAGGTCATATGTCTTTTCTTGAAACACTGAGCATGGCCAGGACTTGATCCCACTTCCGTCTCTACTTGCTGCGTGTCTACTGGGTTCTGCTGTCTCTGGTTCTAGTTGTGCTCTGAACCAACTGTGGCAATCGTGGCTCCCTCTCAGGGTCTAAGTTTTCCCGGCTGCGTAATAGGAGTACCTGTTCGGTGGTTTTGCTTCCCAGGTGGAACAAATGGGAGCATACTGAAAGCATGAGGGATAGCCTCCCATTTCTCCCTTCAGCTCCCCGCAACCTCTCAGTAATCCTACCACTCCTTCCCAGTTCCCAACATGTGTAGACTTTTCACTTCCACTTTATTATCACTTCATTTGTAGGATTTTAAGGTTTGTTACCTAGAAGGGAGCAGAGAGCTCACACCTCCAGTTCCGCTTTTCAAATATACCTTCATTGCTTGTGAAAATAACCTTATTAACAGCATCTAACCTGCTGCAGCTTATGGGGGCACTCAGATAAATAAATGCAGAAGGAACCAGGGCAGGGGAAACAGCACAGCTAGCTAGGATAGCGCAGCCTCTGTGCCCCTGGGATTTTCTTCTAGCCCTTGGGGTCCTGTTGGGGTCAACAGAGTGCAGGTGAGGCCTCAGTAGCCTGGAGCAATCGGCTGCATTCTCTGGGTCCTTGCCTCCTGCCTCCTCCTCTGGTGTTCAGAGATCCTCCGGGAAACAGCTCCCATGCCTCCACAGCTCCCCTGTCTCCTGGATGCTTGTCCAGGATTGATTCTCCGGGCAGCTCCCCCTCCGAGCAGTAAATGGAATATCGGTTACCAGGAGTGAGGCGGGAGGCAATTAACCCCCAGACCTCGCCGTGGCAGATGTGTTTGTAGCAAGCTGAAGCGGCGAGCTGAGCGCACCTGCCTGGCCGTCCTGCAAAGTCATCCAATTAGGACAGTCCCCAGCGGTGGGATCCTGCTGTCCCCTCTGGTGCCCATGACCCCAGAAAGCAGGGCAGCCCTAGCTCCTAGGGCTAGCAGCTGCCTGGGCACAGGATGGCCTACTGTTCCTTGTGTGGGTGAGCTCCAGGGGCACCTCCATCCTGACACCCCCCTGGCAGGGACATTATTCGTTAATTAATCACACATCCTTCTAAAGGGGAGGCAGTCTGGGGAGCTTTCTTCCTTCCTCCAGAGTGGGACCTCCATTCTGCTTGTCTGGCCTCCTTTCTACCACCCAGCTAGTCCTGCCCCCCTAGAATGTTCTTGTGCCAGAAAGTTCTTAACTGAGGAGGAGGAGAGACACATGCCCTGCTTTCAGGGAGCCCCCCAGTCTGAAGGGAGACACAGCTTCTGCTTTCACAGATCCCCCAGTTGGATGAGGAGTCAGAGTCTGTCCTTTGGGGAACCCCCAGTCCCAGGGGCTGGTCTTAGAATGCCCTAGTTTAATAGAAAAGACAGTATCTACCCTCAGAGCCACTGAGAGGAGAGCCACAATCTCTGCATCTAGGACCCCACCCCCACCCCCCGATCCTGGTTTCAGTGGAGATACACACCTTACCCTCAGCTTACTTAAAACACTGTCTTTGAGGATCACCAGTCTGATGGAGGACACAGAGATCTTGCCTTCAGGAAGCTTCCCATTCTGATGGTGGAGACACAGTCCTTGCCCTCAGGTATCCCAAGTCTGAGGGGGAAAAAATAGACTTTGCCCTTGGGGATCCCCTGTCTGATGGGGGAGACACTTTCCAAACAGTCCCCATGCCCCCTGCCCTCCCGCACCACCACCACAGCTGGGATGCTGCCTGAGTGACTTTAGAATACACTTGGTACCCTGCAAAGGAAAAAAAGTCCTTGGCTTCAGTCCAGTCCTAGTTATGCCACACACTTACTGCATGACCATGGGCAAGTCACGAATTTTCTTTGGACTATGATTTCTTCATCTGCAAAATGGAGATATTAGGCCCATCTTTCAAAACGACATGAGGATTGTCTGGTCACCAGAAATAAAAGCAAACAAGCCAGCCAGGCACTCCCTACAGAAATGATTAACATGTTTTTTATTGTAGCAGAAGTCCCAGCCCAGTCCCTATGGCCTCTGGGGAGGGGTAGGGAGCCCCCCAGGTATGTGGCTGGGTAATTCCAGGCCAATGTGGCCATTAAAGAATCACAGGGGGCTGTGGGTGGCACCGAGGGCAAGGGGAAGCGCCTTCTAATCTAATCGCTTTTCCTGAGGAAACTCTCATTCCAACCAGACCTGCCAGGGGTTTTATTGGGTTTGTGGGGACCCGCGGATTTCAATCTCCAGACCCCACAGGGAAGGAACAAGCATTAAGCTAATTTTATTAAATGGCCACAGCTGGCAGTAGGGGGAAGTAGGGGAGAGAAGGGAGGATAAAGAAAGTCATTCAAGGCTGCCAGCCATGACAAGGGTCCATACATGGGGCCTGACTGGGAAGGAGGCCACCCCTCCTTCCGGTCTCTCCAGCTGAGCTGTCTGGGAGAGGGGAGGCCAGGTGGGACTCTTGCTCACTATAGAGCCTTGGGTCTCTCCAACAGGCTCACCCCATGGCTGCAGCCCAATGCAGATGCTTATAAGTCCATCGAGCCTCTGCAGGGCAGGGGTGGGGGTGGAAGGGCTGTGCATAGCAGGGACAGAGCTGCCTCAAAGCCATTCTTCCTCCATTCTGCTTTGGAGATCCCAACTCTCTATGAAATATAACATACCGGCTAAGAGCAGGGTCTCTGGTGCAAATACTGATGTTTGCCTTTTCCTAACTCTGTGACCCTGGCAAGTTATTAACGTCTCTGAATCTGTTTCCCCAACTGAAATGGATAAAATAACAGTACCCGTGTTACAGGGCATTCAAGCATTTCCTGCCAGTCTACCCCACCCCACCCACGTATGTATGAGATAGTATTTATAAAGTTCTCATGTGGTACCTGACGCAGAGTGGGTGCTCTCTAAATATTAGCTTTTGTGTTTTTTAAAAAAGATTTATATATTTATTTGAGAGACAGAGTGTGCTTGTGTGAGTATGCATGCACAAGCAAGAGTGAGGGTGCAGGGAGAGAATCCCAAGCAGCCTCCACACCCAGGGCCCAATGTGGGGCTGGATCTCAGGACCCCAAGATCATGACCTGAGCTAAAACCAAGAGTTGGATGCTTAACTGTGTCCCCAGGCACCCCTGAATATTAGCTATTTTATTTAGGAATGCCCTAACTGCAAATGTCAGGGTCCCAGTTGCAGGAGATAAGGGAGGCAGGGGCAAGACAAGGAGACTCAGGGTGTTGTCTTCAAGGAGCCGGGCTCCTTGGATTCAAGTGCAATCACAGAACTTGGTGACTGTGTCGCATGAAGAAAGATATTTCATCTCCCTGGAAGAACAAAATCTACTCACCCAGACTCTCAGGGCTCTTGGGAGGCTTGAGTGAGATGCCATACCTGGAAGTGTTGTGCAAACTTTCAGTGACGTTATAAATAATAAAAGCTGTGTTTATTGGACATGTACATGATACCTCTTGAATCCTCAGTCAAGCAAGGTAGGACTTGTCACTTAACATTTTATAGATGAGAAAACTGAGGCCCAGAAGTGAAGCACTTGGGTCAAAGTCAACCAGCTTTTAGTGCAAAATACGTTCCTGTCATTGCTGTCACTAACCCAGAGCTGGAAGACGAGTGACTTGCCCAAGATCACACACAGTGGTACCAAATTGAGAACCTGGGTGTCGCAGTTTAAACCTTGCTGATGCCACCTTCAAGGACAGACAAATGGAACATTTCCACCATGGAAGATGATGATGCAACTGGGCTGCTTCCCATTTCTGCTCTTGGGCTGTGGTGAGCATTGGGCCCCTTGGACCACCTCCTCCCAGAGCAACTCTGATTCTGGCACCTGCCTGCTCCCAGATCCACCGGAAACTTCCAGCAGACCCCTTTCCTTTCTGGAAGAAGGCAGGGTTCACCGTCCCCTCCTGCAACTCCTCTCCAGGGCACAGACCCAAAGCGAGCGGGGTGGAAGTGTTTTTATTAGAGCTTCGGTCAGACGGGGCGCAGCCGGGTCGGGCTCGGGCTTTAGCAGGTGCTTGGACGCTATCCAGCCCCAACCCACCCCTCTCCCAGGAAGCGCCACCCTGGAGCCGGTGGGCAGCGCATCCGAGCATGGGCAGGGTCCTCGCTGAGACCTGTCCCCAGTCTGGGGCGGGCTGGCGAGCAGGGTGAGCAATAAACAGTCCTATTGTACAAATATACAGCGCGGGCGGGGGCGGGGGCGGTGGACACCGCCTCCCGGGGGCCGGGACCGGGCGCTCTGCACCCGGCTCTGCAGCGAGCGGGCAGGAGACCCTAGCCTGCGGCCCGGTTGGTGGCGAGGGCGGGCCAGGGGCGTCATAGCCGGGGAGGGCCCGCAGACAGGGCTGGGGAGCCGGGGGCTGGGTTGTCCTCAGCCCGCCCAGAGGGGAGTCGCGGGGTGGGGGGTGGAGGAGAGTGTAGATAAGGGATAGAGGGGGACGCGGGGAGCTCAATCGGAGTAGATGATGAAGCCGGAGAATGTGCTGTATTTGTTGCTGTTGCCGCCGTGCGCTTTGCCTCCGTCGAGCTTGATAAAGACCTCATCACCCGCGTCCAGGTGCAGGATCACACTGTTGCTGGCATAGTCATAGTTCTGGTCTGCGTCCTGGGCTATGGCGCTGGCCCGCACCTGCGGGGGGAGGGGGGGCGGGGGGGATGAGGGGGTGGGGGAGTAGGGGTGGTGTGTGTGAGAGGGTAGCGGGGGAGGGAGGGAGAGAAGTAGGGTTGGGGAGGGAGGGGGACTGTCAGAGGTAAGGCAGCCACCTGGGGAGGATCTTGGAGGCCCTAAAAGCCCCGCCTTCAGCTCTCAGCCAGCTTCTCTCTGGTCATCCCCCCCCTTTCCAATCATAACTGTGTATTTGGGGACCTGGTTATAGAGGAGCCCTGGATTTCTAGGGCAGGTGTAATCTGGTTCTGAATTAGGAATCAAGGTGGAGCTGGCCTCCTTAACTCCTTTAGGTCTTACCAGCTGGCCTGCTGAAGACCTCAACAATGTCCCTGAGATGTCCCAGCCTGGAGCTCCCTCTTTGCAAAGAGGAATTCTCTGGAACACCAGAGGATGGGGGGGGCCATACCTTATCTCCTTATCATTCCTTCCTCTTTGCTTTAATTGTAACAACAATGCCTTATATTTCAGCCATACCTACCTGTTCTTACATCAGTGGATGGACACAAGGGTGCACCTTGGTTCCACGGGTCAAGTGGCTAGACTAATGCCAGGCTGCTACTAGGCAACCACCCTAGTACTAGAACCCAATCTTTAAACTCCTTGTCTGTACTTCATTCTGGAGTCTTTCGCACTGGAGCAGTGAGATGGAAGGTCTGGTAATTATTTCCCCTCCCAAGGCTCAGATTGAGCCTGCAACTGGCCTCCAAAGAGCTGTCAGTTATACCTGTGATTCTTACCCCACCCAAAGGGGACTTCTGGCTCCTCCTATGTCACCCCAGGGTGGTAGAAAGTAGGTGGGAAGAAGAGAATCCAGGCTTTACATCTTTCTGTGATCCTCAGGCGGATGTGATATCTTTGCTGGCCCTTGTTTTGATGGGAGAAGGGAGGGATGGGCAGGATGATGAAGCAAGAGAGCACCGGCATTTAGGTGTGAAGCCTGCTGTCACTTTTTGGGGCTCTGACTATAATCATAAGATATTGAGGGGGTTGGTGGTGGACAAATGCCCTCCAGGAATTCCTCCCCAACAACTGAGGCAACACAAGGCATCATGAGCCAGAGGATCTGGGGCCTCTCCAGGATAGCCTGGGTGGAGAATGGGAAGAGAGGGACCATCTCCAAGGTGTTGAGAGGAGGCTGCATTGAGGGGGTTCTCCCAGCTGGGCTCCCATAACAGCCCCTCTCCATCCTTCTCCTTCCCCGAAGGTAGCTCCCCCAAGGGCTGACAGTCTGGGCTGGACCAAGTCAAATTAGGGGAAGGGCCCATTCTCCTTGTTGGGGCGGGAGGAGGAGGTTGCAGGTCAGCTGTGCCAAAGCTGCTGACTCAGCAGCAATGCTGCCATAGGAGGACCCAACACATTTGCATGCTGTCATTCAGGTAAAGTCCAGATCCTTCCAGCCCCTTGTCTGCCCTCAACCTCTTTCTTCCTCAACCAAGGAAGGAACAGTTTGGGCACACTTAGCTGGGAAAACTCACAGTTCAGCTAAAGGTAGAGAAAATCAAATGAGAGGAAGAGGCTGTCTGTCAAGAAGCTCAGTTTCTCTGTTTAGAAAATGGATGAGAAGATCCTGCCTCACCACTGCAACCTTTATAAAAGCCTTTTGATGGTGAAGAAAAAAAATTTTAATCTTGATGGGGCTTTGTGCTACTAGGCAAGCGCTCAAAGCAAGCAGCCAACTTCTGTATTGTTCCCTGGGCCCTAATCCTCATAGTATTTATTATTACGCATGCATTTCATTATCTTTGCTAATAAATTACTACTAATAACAATTATTTTTATTACCCAGATTAATTTAGCCTTAACTCATTAAAACAGTGTGCTTCTTAATAGCCAAATCCATTAGAATACAGTCATCTGTCATCAGGAATCTCCTGGTGATGTGACAGGCATCAGAACTGTTATGCTTATGTTTATTATTTATTCATCACCATGATTGTTGCTGTGATTATCCTAATTATCCATGGAGGCAGGGAGAATTTATGCCCTTCCATCCTTAGACGGTGGGGAATCTAGGAGTGGAACCCAGGGGTCCTGATTCTCTGCCTGAGACTGGAAACTGTTGAGACATCTAACTCCTCCTGGGGGCCAAGGGGAAATTTGGGGAATTGAGGTTGCCATGGAAACAAGAAAGCAAGTCTGAGACTTGTCACGAGGGGGCGCTGTAGAATCACTTCCTAGAGTGCTGCTAGAAGGGAAACTGAGGCAGTGATCTGACCAGGGCCCTGATTGGAGGAGGGGGGACAACCCAGGAAACATGCCCCTGCCCCCTGATCAATGCTAGAGTGTTGGATGTGCAGGAGTGGCTCCCCCAGGCAGCCAGCTTGGCCCACAGGGCATACTTGTGCTGTCCCCCATTTATTGGGTCCCTGCTGTGCTAGGCACTATGCTCTGTGCCCGGAAAGATATTCAAGGCTAGAAAAGGGCAGCAGGAGCCCCTCTCCCTCTGTCAGGCATCAGGCTGAGCTCCAGTGAGGAGCTCTACATGAGAGTCCTCAATGTATATGTTACTCCACCTCTCACCTCACTCAGGCCCTGTTGACCGAGCCCTTCCCCATTTGTAATATTCACCTTTCCAAAGTTCCTGCCCTGGACAACTGGCACCCTGTTCAAGGACCCTGGCCCATTCCCACACAGCCTCCTCTCTCCTGGCCCAGTTTATGAATTTCATGTCTTTCCTGATCCATCTGAACTGGGGGACCCCCCAGGGCAGCTGCAGGGAGCTTACCTCACTCAGGGCACCGCCCCCAACCTACAGCCCCTTCCTCAGGCTCCTCAGATCTCCATGTCCTCATGAGCAAGGCTTGGTGCCACCAGGTTGGGCCTCAGGCATGGATGGGGTGGGTGCTCCACACCAGGCAGGAAGGTAGTGACTCCCGCTCCCTGTCTTGTCCAGGGAAAGGCCAAGGAACAGTGTCAGCTCTGCCTTCCTGAGGAAATTCTGGAAGCCTTTCTGCAGGCAAGAAGCCAGGAAGGAAAAGCACAGAGCCCAACACTGCCACTGGTCTTGAAGGCACGGGAGGCAGAAGCCCCTCGGTTCTGTTCATGTACATTGCCCAGGACCATCATTCTTTCTCTGCTCACTTGAATGTCCCCTTCTACCTCTAAGCCATCCTTTTCCTACCATTGATCTTTTTATTTTCTCACTAGCCATGTCTCCTCACCTTGGGGACTGACCCAGGTTCGCCATCCTTTCCCTTGACCAGGTTGGTCTGGGTTGGGGCAGGCCCCACTGGATCATTCCTTCCAGCTAACACATTTGGGGACCAGAGTTGCCAGCTGGGCTCCCAGTCCTCCTCTGACACACAAATCACTGGGGTGTATTATGTGGTTACTACTCTCTCTCCTGCACAGACCACAAGGTCCCAGAGAGCAGGTGGATCACACCCCACTACCTGGCTCCAAACCTGACTCCTAGTAAGGCTTCAAAATGGATATGTGGGATGACTTGTGAGATTTAATGAGTCTTGAGCAGTCCTGATCATGTCACAAAGGATGTAGGGGAGAGGAGTGTAGGCCCCACTGTTTTGTCGGGGGGGGGGGGGAATGGTCTGAGTCACTGTTAAAAATGCTGGGTCTTGAAACCCTTCCTTAAAGCCACCTCCTTTTTTCTACTAGCCTGTGGTCCCACCTCCAGCGAGTACCTCCTCAGCAGGCTCTGCTGAAGGGGAAAGAAGAGGCTTTGAGATGGTTTCACCTCCCAGTGACTGAAGCAAGTGCCCCTTGCCCAAGCACACATCACCTTTGGGGTCATCTCTGAGGCCCTGCTGCAACCACCTGAGGTGGCGCCAGGTCTAGGGCCCACTGGTGGTCTGGTGACCAGCTCCCTATCCAGGCAAAATGGGCCCCGAACCCCCTGAAGGCTCAGCTCGGGGCCAGCCCAAACTTTCTTTGGGAAAGGAAGAGATTCCATTGATGAAGGTGACATTGCTGCATCCCTTATTGGTGATTAATAAGGAGAATCGTGGGGCTGTCTGCAGAATGAGCCCTCCCTGGATACTGAGGCCTCCCTTTTGGTCAGGAACCAAGGACAAAGAGGAGAGATGCGGGAAGCCTGACAAACACCAGTAGGAGAGAGACACTCAAGGAATAGAGAGGGGTGTTAAGCCCAGGGGACAGAGGCCAGAAACCCAGGAGAGCTGGGTAGGACTGGTAGACACAGGAGAGAGATGAGGAAAAGAGACAGAGAAGGAAAAAGAGGCAGACAGGAGAGAAAGAAGAGGGGGTAGACTTACAAGTGCCTGGTAGTATTCGTGCTGACTCCCATGCCTGTCCTCTCCCCCAACCCCCAAGCCAGGTTCTACCTCAGGGTAGTACTGCAGTGGGAAGGCTTCCAACAGGGTCTTGGGTCCCAGTCGCAGGAGATTCCTTTCCAACTCCCACCATCCTAGCTTTAGTTTGGACCCTTGCTGGTCTCTTTTTCCACTGGGATGCTCTGCCTCACTAGCCACCCCCCCCAACCCCCGGGGGTGGGGGGCTTGGCCACCATGGTCTGGGAGTACAGGAAAGGGAGGGGGTTTCAAAAGGGAAGGGAACTGGGCAAAACTGTCACCCTGTGGCAGAGTTAGGTCGATGTTGGCCCTGAGGCAGGAGTTTCAGAGAGAAAGCACCATGCACTACCCTCCCAGTACCAGCAGCCTGGCGCCAGCTTCCGTCCCTGGGAAGGGAATAGGGAATGCCCCAGGAGTCAGGAGCAGCAGCTGCAAGATCAAGGGAGGGGGAGTTTCCATCTCTTTGCCCGGCCTCAGGAGGAAAAACTTTCCCCCCCGGAGGCGGCTTTCTTGGCGCCTGTAGCTCTGACACTGTGGGAAGCCAAGCCACCGGGCTGCCCCGTGTTTTGCAAGGGTTTCAGATCTGCCCAGTGGTCCCTTCTCAGGGACCGAGGATGTATTGCAGCTAAAGCTTTGCGCCCCTGGCTCCCTTTGCCTGTGTCCAAAACATCTCCTACAGCTTGCCTTCTAGGCTTGCGCGCTTAGCGGTGCGCCCGGACGCCCGCGGGCGCCAGAGGCTGCCTCTCCCCAGAGCCCGTCTTTGCCCTCCCCTAATCGCCCGCTGGTATCAACCACAATCCCAGCTCTCAGATATCGCTTCCCAAGGGCAGGTCCCCAAGGACCAGTCCGCGCGCCTGGGAGCCCTGCGCTCTGATTATTTGGTATTATCTCCCGCATTCCCATGCCGCGCGCCGGTGCCCAGGAACCGAGGAGTTAGTGCCAAGCGGTCCACCGTCCCCGCGTGTGATGCCTAAGCGGGGCTGCTGTACGTCTCCACCTGTGCCCGCCGGTCCCCATAGGTCCCGGGCTCCCTGGGTGCCCTGCCCCCAGGCCAGCCCCATGCCCCCGCCGGGCCCACCTGGCCGTTCTTGCAGAGGTCCGCCCACATACTGGTGCCGTCGCCGCCGCGCATGAGGACGTGGTAGGTGAAAAAGTAGGTGCCGGGAATGTTGCACGTAAACTTGCCGCTGGTGGCGTCGTAATTGTTGCCTAGGTTGGTGACCACGTCGTCGAACTTGAGCACCTCGTAACCCTCATGAGGGTTCTTGAGGCCGGCGTAGAAGGCCACGCGTGGCACCGTGGTGTAGGTGGCCGTGCTGATGGCGCCGCTGCCCCCCGCACCCGGTAGCCCGGGAGGGCCGGTCTTGCCTGGCTCACCCTTCTCCCCGGGTGGCCCCACAGGGCCCGGAGGACCTGGGTCCCCGGGGGGCCCCGGGGGGCCCGGCTTGCCTGTGCGGCCCGGTTTCCCCTGGGGGCCCTGCACCAGCGTTGAAGGCGGGGGCGCGCCGCTCTGCTCGCTCAGGGCGTCGCCGCCGTCGGGCCGAGCGCCGGCGCCGGGGCCCCGCGCGGGGTAGGGGTCGCATACCATGCGGCAGGTGCCCAGCATCTCATAGTGGCCGTCCGGGCCGCCCGAGCTCACCAGCACGGGGATGAGCACCACCAGCACCAGCAGCATCACCACGCCCGCAGCGGCCGCCAGCAGCGTTTTCCGGCCGGCGCGGAGCCTGGGGAGCGCCGGGCCGCCCGGCCGCGCCGTCGGGGCAATGGTGCCAGCGGGCGGGGGGCGCGGGTAGGGCGCCCGCGCTCAAGGGCGGTCCGGCGGGGCTGCGGGCATGAGGCCGGGCCCGGAGCGCCGCGCTGCGCTGGATGCGCCGCCGAGCCCAGCCGCCGGCTCCTGCCTCGCGCCTCCCTCCCGCTGCGCGGCCGGACTGAGAGCGGCGGCAGCCGCGTCCTGCCCGGCTCCTCCCGCCTCCTCGCGCTCGGGCCACCGCCCCCTCCGCCCCGCCCCGCCCCGCCAGCTCCCGGCCGCTCGGCGCCCGTGAGGGGTGGGGCTGTGGGCAGGGCCGGCACCTAATTGGGCCGCTGGAGGTGGGGCTCCGCCCACTGAGGGGGCGGAGCCACGGAGATGAAGGCCAGAGCCGGGAGAGGAACCAGGAGACTGGGCGCTGGAGACTGACACTGGGAAATGGGGAGGATGCTTGAGTCTAAGAAATAGTAGAGTCTCCTATAGGGAAGGGGAGAATAGGGACCAAAGACCGAATGGAAGAGACGGCCACAGGGAGAGCTAGCGAGCGCCGAGGGAGGCAGAGAAGAGAGGCCTCGAGGGTTGGTTGCGAAGAAAACCGAGGAGGCTCTAAGGGCCATGGCGCATAGGGGGCGGAGGCTGGGGTGGACAGTTCCCCAGCCTGCTGGGGATGGAGAGCAATTGAGGGGAGTGTGGAGTGGGGAGTATGGAATTGGGAGCAATGAGGGAAGAGAGTGAGAGGGAAGAAGAGAGGAAGGCAAAAGGAAGATGGGGAAGGGGCCATTCTGCACAGGTCTTCACAGACCATTAGTCCAGGAGATATAGGGATCGTGTGCCTGTCGGAGTGTCCTGCGAAGTCCCGAGTAACTGAGAGGAGCTGCTCCTCCTCTTTTCTGGCTCCTGGCTGTTCCCTGGCCCCGTCTTCAGGACGGGCAGGATCTTTTACCCATACCTCCTTGCCTCCCTGTTCCTCATCGAGCTCCAAGCCAGACAAGGCTGCTTTTTCCTGGGAGTGGGCTAGTCCTCCATTTTCCTCTGATCACTCCCCTTATTCCTGCGTTTAGAGAAGAGAGAAATGGGGGCCCTAAGAAAGCGGGCATTCCACCTTGTTTCTTCATTCTGACCAATACAAACAGTCCCTGGAAGGTAGCTCCCTTTTCCAGCCTTCAAGAAGGGAAATTGGTCTCCCCCAGCCCCTCAGCAGCCCCCTAACTCTTCTCCCCATCAGGTTGCATGAAGCAGTCCTCTTCCTCAAGTGCAGTAAAGTGTTTAGGTTGCATAAGTGGAAATGTGTCTGCTTCCATCAAAATATTTGTCACATTATTTGAGGCCCCACTCATGCTGTTCCATTGCTCCTCCTTCTTCCTCCTTTATCCAGAGCAACATGGAAGGCTCTGCCTCTGGAGGCCTCTGGCCCCTGCTAAAAGATGACCCTTCAGCCTCTTTCTTTTCTCCTGAGAGGTCCCCTCCCACCTCACACTCTTCCCCTGCTGACTGGTCACAACTGTCCTTATGATTCTCTGGCTTTCTCTGCCCTAGGATGAGACTGCTTACCCCCACCCAGAGATGGGAGGAGGAAAGGGACACGAAAATATCAAATAAGGGGCTATGAGAGAGGACTTTCCAAGCCCTGATGGCAGAGCCCAGTTGGAGGGACCCCCAACCACCAAGGAGGGAGCTAAACCAATTCAATAAATAGCATTTACACTGGGCTTACTGTGTGCCAGGCCCTGTCTTGAATGCTTTACATACAAGATCATACTGGGTCTTTACATCAAGCCCTAGAGGTAAAACTCATCACTTTTCTCATTTTACAGATGGAGAACTGAGGCTCTGGCAAGTGAAGAGATTTGACCAAAGTCACACAACTAATAAGAGGTAGAGTCGGGATTCAAACCCGCAGTCTGACTCCAGGCTCTTCCAACCCGGGTGGTTGGGTCTCTAGGTATTGTTCAATGTCCAAAGGGAGGAAAGTCCGGCAGGAGGGGGGCGCTAGGCGGAGCAGCTAGACCCCCAGGCTCAGGAAGAGTAGTCCTCAGCTGTCAATAGGCCTCCTGTCCCCCCACCTTGGTCTCCCCCAATATGTCTCTTTGAAGAGCGACAGGACTGGTGACCCAAGGGACAAGGTGCGCGGTCTTTAGCGTGCTATTTGCACTGTCCCCCTCCGGCAGGTTCTCACGCAGAGCGGTCTCCCGTCTGCTGTGCACCCGCAGCCCTCCCAGCACCTGCCGGGAAAGCGCGGCTGCGCCCCAGGCCGAGGACGAGGACGAGGACGAGGACGAGGACGAGGCGGGAGCGCCCTCCCCCCACCCCCACCCCCGAGCTCTCACCGCCGCGTCGGAGGGGCGCGCTCGGCGCTGCCAGGCGGCCTGCCCCCCGCCCCCCGAAAGAGCGCCCGCTCCCTGGCGCGGTGTGGCGTCTCTGTCAGCCCAGCCGGATTCTCCCCGCTTCGCTGGAGTGGAAAATAACGGCTTCAAACTTTGCAGAGAGGAGCTGGTGCCAGCACTTTAATTAACAACCATCTTGGCCTGTGAGCCTGGGCCACCGCCTCCCGCCTCCCCCCGGGCTCGCCAGGCCCCGCCTCGGTCCCGCCCAGGTCCCCCGAGTGAGACGAACCCCCACCGCGGTGTCGGTGTCAGGGCACCCGTTTTCCTTAGGTGGGGACGTGAGGACGCGGCCGATTGGGGGGCGGGCGCTGCCTGAAGGAGAGTCCCCCAGTTTACTGACTGAGGACCCCCGAGCCCTCCCACTCCTCCCACCCCAAATTCTCTAGAGCTTGGCTGTTGAGGATTCTAGAATTAGAGACCTGCTTAGGATAGTCTAACCTGCAGCACCTCAAGTGTTCTCCAGAAAAAGGGTTGTGAGAATTCAATGAGATATAATGGATGTAAAGCCCTGGGCTCAGTATCTGACCCTGGTTATGCACCCAGTAAATGGTGGCTAATATAATCATTGCACCCCCAGGTTAAGAATGCCCTTCCACCACCCTAGGCCTTGGGTTTCCTTCTCTTGCCTTCTTCCTACAGGTTGCAGTGTTTGGTGTAGGATAGGAAGACAGTGGCCTATGCTTCTAGGTTCAGAGACAAGACTTAGATGAGTGAAGAAGGACCCCTGGTGCTCTGGCATTCTAGCCTCTTCCTCAGCCACCTGCCAGAAGGGGGACAGGGGAACCCAGGTTTACAGAAGGGGAAAGAGGTGAGCCTTGTTAGAAAAGAGGGAGAGCAGGACTCTCCCCCGCTGGGATGTTGCCATGCTGGGAGCTAAAGACCCAGCTTTGCTTTCCTTCCTGTGAGGGGGAGCCCCACCCCACTCCTACAGCCCCTATCATTTTAGGGGTGGGGGGGTACTGGCATTATGGGTGTGTGTAAAGTGAGTAAGACTCTCCATTTACACATGGCTGACTTTAGGAAACCAGGTGGCTGCTCTGTGGTATTTTGGGGTTCTTTGAATGAATGTGAGTGGGTGTGAATATGTAAGAGACAATTTGTGTTAGTGTGTGTCTGGGTTTGTGAGTGATGACGGGAGTGCTGTGCCCTGAATCATCGGCTGGCAAATCTGCATTCATTTGTCCACTCATTGCAAACGTCGATCTAGGCACTGTAATGTGGTGGTGCTGGTGCGCCCCGAATGAGAAAGACCTAAACCATACCCCTGAGGAGCTCACTCTTTGACAGGTGACTCAGGCAGCAAGCAATGGTAAATGTTATGATAATTATTAACATTCTTCCGAGCACTTACTAAGGGCAAGATCTTGTTCCAAGTGGATTATCTTATTTAAATTTAACAACCTATTATCCTGGACTTAAAACTATTACATGGCTTGTATCATTTAATATCAATAACCCCATGAGGTAGGCAGTGTTATTTTCCCCATATTGTAGCTGAGGAAAAACTAAGGCTTGGGATGAGGTTTTGTACTAGGCGTTAGGAAGCACAGATGAAAACTCCCTGCCCAGAGGACTCCAGGAAGACTTCACGGGGGAGGTGGAGAGCTGGGAAGCAAGAGGCAGAGGCAGGCTTTCCAGGTCATGGGGCCCATCAACTTGCCACATGTGCTTGGGGAAGTCTCATCACATGTAAGGCCTTTCATTTCTTTCTCTGGGCTGGAGAATTGTCCAGGGGAGCTCTGAGGAGCTGTGATTCTCATATTAAAGAAAACATCCAACTGTCATCCATTAAAATACTTAAAATCCCTTTACTGATATTTTAACTCAGACCCTTCTAGATCCTCCATTGGAAAAGCCTCCATGATTTTAGCCCCCTTTGGAGAGGGAATATTTGGTCAAAAAGTGCAGGGGGAATGGAAGTGGTGTTGTGATTTCGGGTGAAGGGCCAGGACACACCTCAGTGGATTGAACCAGCGGGGGGACTCAGAATTCCTCAGTCTGGCTGGGGCCTAGAGGTTGGTGAGGAACATTCTTCAGGAATCTCTCCCCCAGGGATGCCTGGGTGGCATGATCTATTGGGCTCCCTACATGGAGCCTGTTTCTCCCTCTGCCTGTGTCTCTGCCTCTTTCTCTCTCTGTGTTTCTCATGAATAAATAAATAAAATCTTTAAAAAAAAAAAAAGGAATCCCTCCCCCAGGGATGCCTGGATGGTTCAGCAGTTGAGCATCTGCCTTCAGCTTGGGGCGTGATCCTGTCCGGGGATCGAGTGAGTCCCGAATCAGGCTTCCTGCGAGGAGCCTGCTTCTCTCTGTGTGTATGTCTCTGCCTCTCTCTGTGTGTCTCTCATGAATAAATAAATAAATAAAATCTTTAAAAAAAAAAAAAGGAATCCCTCACCCAGCTCCATAGCGGGAGGAGGAGTGAGTGGGATTAAGGGGGGCAGAGCCCACATACCCAAGCCATAGTCAGGTTTTCACATGTTCCCTCTCCAGAGAACTCACGGCTTTGTGCCTGGGGTCTCCAGAGACTTGCTCAGGCCTGGAGCCTCCTGCAACCCCCACCTCAGACCAGCCGCCGCCTGCTGCCCATCCCAACCCAACACCAGGGAAGCAGCTCTGAGAAGGCTTGGGATGTGGGACAGGAGACCTATTAGGAGGTGCCTCCCCTCAGCCCAGCCTGCATCTCCCAGCTGCATGTATAAGTAATGAGGCTCTGCAGCCCCAACAGGAACCAATATAATGGCGGGTGCGCAGGGTCAGCCTGAGAGACAG